GTATATTCCAATAAACATACGTCAGATAATATAAGCTTCATTTCATCGAATTGTCTTAAATATAACTGCATAAACATTGTACAATCCTGTACTAATTATAGTTGTCTGGTTCAACAGATTTCTAAAGAAACTAACTACTGCTTACGTCTTTTAAACTTGGGCTGTAGTAGTATCTGCAGAAACTGCCATGGTTGCTGGGGTTACTATATAATTTGCTCACAGCGATAAAGGATCACGTTTCAAACGTGTACTGACGCAAGACGCAAGCCATTTCACTACCGTTCATTGTCCCGTAATCCACAGGACATCCGTCTAGGTATCTAGTCGGTGCATATAGTCACTGCTTCCCGTGATAGGCTTCCCGTTTAGTTCACATTTGGACAGCTCTTACACCGTTATACGGGTAGCTTCCGTCTAAATAAAGCATTCAGTTTGAAGCTGAAAGAACGTAGATTAATCCCCTGTCAATGTTAATATTAATAAACGATCAGAACATTGTTAAAATCGCATTTAATCGCGGAATGCCATTATTTTTTGGACCGGTGGCGCCACCCGCGGCAATTCGCTCAAACTGCTAGCCAAATCATACCGACAGGTGAGTGAAAATTCCTAATGATAGAAAAATGCGAATATCTCCGTAATTAAGCGCTTAAAACGAACGCCTTTAGTCTCAAATTACTCCTGAGGACTTAATGCATCGATCCAATACTGCAAAACCCCAGAATTAGTAAACTTATTTATGCCTGTGTTACCGCTGACCCTTATGGAGCGGCAACCCTCATTGCACAGTTTCCGATCGCATTTACACCACTGAACGGGCATCATTTTTCCTCGTCAGACAATAAATTCGAAGTTTCAAGAACGTAGATTAGTACTTTATAACGGCTGGCAACCAGTAAGTACAAGAACATTGTTAAAATCACATTTATTTACAACAGTCGCCACTGTATCTCGTCATGCGTACCCTGTTTAGTTCACTTTGGACAACTCTTCCAACGTTATGCTGTCAGCTACCGTCTTGACCAAGCATTCAATTTGAAGCTGAAAGAACGTAGATTAATCCCCTGTCATTGTTAATATCAATAAACGACCAGAACATTGTTAAAATCGCATTTAATCCCGGAATACCACTATTTTTTTGACCTGTGGCGCCACCCGTGGCAATTCTCTCAAACTGTTAGCCAAATTATACCGACAGGTGAGTGAAAATTTCTAGTGATGAAAAAACACGAATATCTGAGTAATTAAACACTCAAACTTAAGATTGCTAGTCTTAAATTATTCCCCACGATTCAATGCGTCGACCGAATGCAGCAGAGCCCCATAATTAGATAAATTATTACTATCATTGTTGATATGTACAATACCGTACTGACAGAAATAATTCTTCCGATTATGGGATTCCGAGGTATTGGATTGATACACGGGATCGTTAGGAATTATTTGAGACTCACTGTGTTCATTTTAAACGCCTAATTACTGAGATATTCGCATTTTTCCATCGCTAGGAATTTTCACTCACCTGTCGGTATAATTTGGCTAACAGTTTGAGCGAATTGCCGCGGGTGGCGCCACCGGTCAAAAAAATAATGGTATTCCGCGATTAAATGCGATTTTAACAATGTTCTGATTGTTTATTGATATTAACAATGACAGGGGATTAATCTACGTTCTTTCAGCTTCAAACTGAATGCTTTATCTAGACGGAAGCTACCCATATAACGGTGTAAGAGCTGTGCAAATGTCAACTAAACGGGAAGCGTATCACGGGAAGCAGTGACTATATGTATATGTTCCTTTTTCTAAAGTTGGGTCGTCTCTTTCAGACTAACACGCAGTCTATATTTCTATGCAACTTCTATGTCTGTGGGGCATAATAAATTCAATTGTCGCAAACAAAATACGAGTGCAAACAAATATCATTAACTTCAAGTTTTAAATATTTACACAACAACTATATTTTAACGTAAATAGCGAAAGTAAGCATACAATGTTCATTACTAACAGCTACAGGTAACATTTACAATATTACTTGTATTTCACAGAGTCTTTATAATCATACATATGTTGGTTAACCATGACCACGTGGTAATTACTGTTATTAATCATATTAATAACACGTTTATATATATATATATATATATATGTATAAAAATATATATGGTACTGTTTCGACACACAGACTTTTGATGTCCACTTTTTATAATTATTACAGAGTATTTTTTTTTAAGGACATAGAAAGATGGATGTACAGAAAAGGAAGAAACACTATTACCAAAACAACAGTAACAACCAGAAGAAACGCAAACAATTGAGTTTAGAAGCAGGCACAATGGGGTTCTTGTGCACATGTAATTTTCGTGAGAAAGATTGTGTGCGCGATGCTTACAAGTTACTAAACCAATTTGCTGATGAAATTTATGGATCAGAGACCACAAAGGTATAGTGGAATTCAAAGAATCAGATAGGCACACAAAGAGGTATAAGAATATCAAATTCTTTTTAATTCAAGGACAATGATAATGATAATACCAAAGTCTCTATAGCAAATGACGATCCTGTTAGTGATACAGAACAAGATAATGAAGATATATCTACTGCTTTAAATAAAGAAATCAATGAACTAAAGGCAGAATATGCAAAACCAGTGGCTGCAAGAAGATTTCAGGTAAATTATGAGAGGAAACGTAAAAAGTACTTAACAAGAATAATATATAGTCATTGTTCAATTCAATGAATGAATTAGCTAAAGATTTCTTTTTATTAGGTGGTTGACACTGGTGTAAAAAATGTTATTTTTATAAGGAGTACCTTATCAAATCCTCTGGAGCTAGTTACTAAAATTGTTACAGAATTAGAGAAAACGAAACAACAGCGTACCAGATACTTATTAAGATTACTTCCAATTGAAGTCATATGTAAAGCATACATGAATGATATAAAGCAGAAAGCAGATGCAATGCTTGAAAAGTATTTTGCACAGGAGCCAAAAACTTTCAGTATTGTATTCAAGTAAGTTCTTATCAGTGATACTTTTAATATAGTTATTTTAGAAACACAAGTATAATTGTGTAATGTAATTACAGCCGCCACAGTAACAGCAATATACACAGAGAAGAAGTTATTGAAGATCTGGCTGAAATAATAAGCAAGAAAAACCCTGGAAATAAAGCAGATCTGAAGAATCCAGAACTTGCTGTGATAGTTGAAGTAATCCGTGGTGTCTGCCTCATGTCTGTTGCTCCAAATTATTACAAATTTAAGAAATATAATTTGCTTGAAATATGCAATGCAAAAGAATCTGTGAATAACACAAAAGTGAGAACAAACAATATTTCATGTAAGGTATTTATCAGAACCGCAGTTTTTTAGTAAACACGAACTTAATTGTTATTTCCAGAAAAATAATTGTGAAGAACATAACGAGTCAAAAGATAGTGAGAAACATTCAAAAGAGGAAACGCATGTAGAAGAAGAAACAATTGTTGACAAGAAGGAACTAAGTAACTGATATAGAAATTATTAATTGATGACCACGTAACAAACCTTTCAGTGACAACTATAGTTACATACTTTTGTTATTAAATATTTAACAAGTTATAATTACGTTCTGGACAACTTTATAGTTCACATCCTTTTGTAATATTTTGTATAAAAAGAAGTCTTACATAGTTGTAAAAATGTATGTAAAATATAGCTTCTATATTAATAAACATTTTGTATTACAATATTTAAAGACCTACAATGTTGAATATTCTTTTAATAAAAACCTTATTTTACTTTTAATCTAGGAGATGAATTTCTATTGAATTCGTGTTTTGCTAACTTATTATGTAAATTTGAATGTTAGCAATGTATTTTTTTAACTAATCAATAATGTATTAACATACTTTATATTGAATAAAACTCTACAAGGTCCCATGGTGTAATGGTTAGCACTCTGGACTCTGAATCCAGCGATCCGAGTTCAAATCTCGGTGGGACCTTTTCTTTTTGTTCTCACTCTGTATATTGTTTTCCACCTATATAGAATACAAAACAAGGGTAAAATAGAAAAGGAATAATTTTACTAACAAAACTCTTCATAATAGATAGCTTATAAAAAAAATGTTTACATGAAATTATAATGTACATAATCAACTGTACAGTTTAAAACTTATCCTAATTTGTTATATTAAGAGTAATTTACTGATTATTATAACTTTTATTTGTATGAACCTGTGTCTTTAAACAGAACGCACTAATGCCTCATTTTCAATGATCGATTTATAAGTTTTATTTCGCTTCCAGCAATACGAGCTTTATACGGGATGTCATGATGGCATGATGGTCATGAACGTATGACGTCATTTTTTTCAAAATTGTTAACACATCAGCATTAAATCGTAGTTTATGTCAATATAAAGTCGAAGAAAAACGTGAACATGTCGAGTCGAAAAAATGCGCAAAGTGGATTTCAGCCTGTGAGCTTCAGTAACATTCACTATTTCAGTTATATATTTTATCATTAAATTATCTTTCTAACCTCCACCGTGTTATAGGATTCCGATGTTTATATTACATACGAAGATCAACAGAAAATTAACAAATTTGCAAGGCAAAATGCTAAGATGGAAGACTTGAAAGAGGAGTTGAAAGTCAAGCAGGTATTAATGGATTTATTAATTGCAAATGCCTCGTATTTCTTGTAACCTTATTTGGTCATGCTCAGTTTTGTATGCATTACATCTTCATACTTTCTGCAGAATGAATTAAAAAATTTGGAAGATGCCTGCGATGAAATAATCCTTTTAGACGATGACGCAAAGATACCATATTACATAGGTGAAGTTTTCATTTATGAAGATTTGGAAAAGACACAGGTTTGTTGTCAACCAATCTGTTAGTTCCTTAAGTAATAATTAGACCGTGGCTCTTTATGTGGAGCTGTTATTAGGACCATAATGAAGTGAAAGATTTACTAAAATTTTTACTGTATTATATTTAACACATTGTTTACTACAAATGCATAAGATCTGCAATCTATTTCTACCTTCTATTGATTTTTTTACAATTGAAAGAAATGTATACTTGTAGGGTTACTTAGATGACATCAAAGAGAAAAAGAAAAAGGAAATCTCAACTTTAGAAAGTAAATGTGGTGATCTGAAGAACATCATAAGTGATTTAAAAACTCAATTATATGCAAAGTTTGGTACTCGCATAAATTTGGATGTGGATGAAGATTGATCTAGTCAAGTGTGCATATAATCTTTTTATAATGTGCTATAAGGTTTTGTACACATTTATTCATTCATGAGTTTTCCAATTCAGATAATACAAGCTGCATTTTGTTATTCACAATTTGTACAACCAAACAATTTCACATTTTAATTTTCTAATATATGAAAATCATTAGCATTTGCACCTGTTAATTAATTGTTAATATGTGATAAACTTTCAATAAACTTATTGTACTTTTTCCACGTAGTTTTTTTTATTGTTATACTACCTTCCAATAACACTAATGTTGCTATAAGCTAATTACGGATCTACTATCAACTTATGGATATTTACTATAAGCTAATTAAGATCTCCATATATACTTGACAAAAAATATAAGAAAAACACTATATTGCACGTTGGACATCACTGAATTATTCTGTACATAAATGTTAACAACCATATGTATGTGTTCCTTTAATCAAAGGTTGAATTCAAGACAGTGGTAGCAGTAGCATGAAATTTGGATGCCTGCCAAATTGTTCTCATTACAAAGTGCTCATGCAACATGTCAGAAAAAAAACTATCTCCATGATCTATATTTGTTGAATATTTTTAAACATTATATACCATTATGGCTTGTTTGAATATTATTAGCTCATACTCTTTGCAATACTTACATCATAATGTTTGTAATCTTTACAAAGAATACATAATAAGCAAGACAATATAAATTTTGAAAAGAAGTAAAAATGTAATATGAAGTACACGATTTTAACCATATTCTGAAACATGTGATAATATACTTCCTTGTTTTACAGGCTATCATATTAAACTTTTTTAATAAATCTGAAAATTACTAAAATTAAGTAACTTATTGTGGAACATTAATATAAAACAACTAAAATGTATCATTTTCTACACATTATATAAATTAGAATTTAACAATTTAATAATGATTTGGAACTTGGTTACACAGTCATACAGGTTCTGCCTTCCCTCTATTATCTCACTTGAGGTAATTTTAGTTTCACCTCTCAGTTTTGCTTCTGCCAGTACATAGTTCACTACAGACCATTCAATAGCTGCTTATCTACTGCAGAAGAAGTATGTGAATAATAATTTTTTCCCTAGATTTAGTTGAAACTATACCATGTACATAAATAAACAAAAATATACAATTAATCAATTACAGTACACTCCACTTATTATTTACAGATACGTGTAATTGTTAAATGTGAATGAGATACACGAATTTAACGATTTCCGTTTGTGAAGGATTTTTTCAGTCAGAATAGTTAACATGGATATGGACACAGCAAGGGAACTAGTCCTGACCTTAAAGCAAGGTAACAACTCACACGTGGGATATGGTTTGCAGAAAGAGGGTGAAGCACTTGTTGGTCATATTTTGCAAAACATGCTGAAATCTCCACTACCCACTTTAGTTCCTGAAACGAAAAATGAAGAAGATTCGATCAGATATAGAGAAGAAGGTAAAAGATATTTACTGAGTACATAAATCCAACCTTTATACTTTGTTAAACTCTAACAATTTTAACACAATTGCAGGAAATCAACACTTTGTGATGGGCGATGATACTGAAGCCATAAAATGTTACACAATGAGTTTAGCATACGCAAATGACGGGGAGCTTATGTCTCACGCTTATGCTAACAGATCGGCGGCTTTATACAGAAAACAAATGTTCAAAGAGTGTTTAATAGACATTGATTCTGCTTTAGATCTTGGCTACCCAGAAGAAAAGAGAAAAAAATTGAAGGAAAGAGGAGCAAAGGCTATTGAAGAGATTAAAAAGAAATTAAAGATTAAGAAGGATGACCCTATTGATACAGAGAAGTTAATGAATATGTGTTTGTCGGAAAAAGTTACAGAAGTACCTATAACTGTAAGATACAGAAATGGTAAAACCGAGAATAAAGAAGAAATAAATAAGAATGGACAAATTAATGGAAATAAAGAAGATTCGGTTAACGATTGTGGTATACCACCCACTAAAGAAAAAGAACCGAGATACCTAGCAGATGAGGGTCCTTTAAAGTTGACTTATGGCCCTAGCAAAGAGGCTCCTGCTGTCAGTGACGGTGTCACAATTGCTTTCTCGAGAAAATATGGACGTCATTTAGTAGCTTCTAAAGAATTTAAGCCAGGAGATGTCGTTTCCTTTGAAGATCCGTATGCACATATTATTTATACGCAAAAGTAAGCTACTTCGTTAACGCTTTTAATACGTTTTTTCTTTAAACATCGTCATTAAAATCGGCAACGATATTTTGAATATTCGCGTTAATTTGTGGTACCCCGTATATTTACATGTGTATGTTACAATTTTATAATTTCACAGATATTACACGCATTGTCATCATTGTTTATCTAGAAGCTACAATCTAATACCATGTCCAAAATGCCCAATGTCTGTATACTGTTCAGAAAACTGTAGATCAGTAGCTTGGGATATGGCGCATCAACTAGAATGTCCAATTTTGGCAGTTCTAGGAAATTTATTCAATGTTGACAAAGACAAGGTAAGAATGCTTACCAAAATTGTACGGTTTCTGATTGTAGTAACAGCAAAGGGCAAAAAAATCACAGAACTGCGTGAGGACATGAAGGTAGCAGAGTGTAATCCAGGTAAGCAGGAGCCTTCATATTCTATATCTAAAATAAAAAATATAATGGTAACTATCAGTCACGTTTAAAGGACGTAAGAGATTATGAGAAAGTATATTGTAGTAAATATTGAACTATAACATACTGTGTGAATATTATATTTTATACTGTATTTCTTTTTTTGTAGATAATAGGACTGCAGGCTTCACACATGAAGGTATACTGGACAGCAACAATGCACAATCTGCTCTGAGCCTTGCAACCAACATGACAACAAGACCGCTCATCGGAGTCAGTGCGTTCGCCTGCATCTCAGCCCTGGGTGCTATTCTCCTATCCACACAGACTAATTTCTTCTGCAAGAAATACGAAATGGACCAATTAAAAGACATCGACAATATCCCCGAGCTAAAGTTCTGTGGCAGCCTCATGTTTCGTGCTTGTGTCATAATGTCTTCCAATTGCTTCACAGTAATTTGTTCCGACAGATACTTTTTAAAATATAAAAGATATACTCGTGGAAAATTTGATAAAGCAACAGATAGGAACATAATAATCGAGTTACAGTTTTCAAATTTATTTTCTAGATACAGCAGGAGCCAGGAGTTAAAACAGGCTCTGGACTATATGTAACGCACAGCTTGTATAATCACTCCTGTGCGCCAAACACTTTCCGTCATTTCGAAGGACTGACAATGATCACCCGTGCTCTGGAACCAATATATCCTGGGGACCAAATATTCACCGGCTACGGTGCTGCGTATGCACACATGCCAAGATCTGAAAGAAAAGAAAAGATAATGCAGGACTACTTCTTCGAGTGCAACTGTCCTGCTTGCAGTTCAGACTGGCCAATGTATAATGAGATTCTTCAGCATCACGTCGGTTCTATCAGCAAGAATAAAGAGCTTGTAGAGAAACTAAAATCATATAAACAGAGATTGGTGAAGAATATGTACGACATTGATGCTGTCAAATCTGTTCTTGGTATCCTCTACAAAGAAGTATCCCAACCGTGTGAAGAAATAGTGCACGCGGAGCAATACCTAAAGAGTTATTATCTAGGTAAATTCAATCATATGTCAACTTAACTGATATTAACGCTTATTTACACTCATATTGCTTTGCTTACCTGCTGATGTTTAATAATATGCTTACTTACGTCCCGCAATACATTTTTATTTGTATGAAGTATACTTCACTTTGTTGTGCACTGGTTTGTCTTGTCGCTTGTTAACATAATAAAGCTGCTTCTGAGTCCATAGCATATGTTGCTTCTTGACAATGAATACGTACTTTACTTACTGTGCTGCAAAGGTATGTAAAGTGTTAATGCATTAGGTGTTCAAAACTGAAGTCTGATTTAACAGATCTGTATTTTCTTGTTTCTAGATCCGTGAGACTATGAGGCATCAACATTGTACCAAGATGTTAATAAAAGACATACAGTATTCCTAAAAACATTTTATTGAAGTTATACATGATGTTAATCTAATTCCGAAAAAAGAATGTTCATGTATTCTTTCATGTAATACACTTGTATAAATAAACAAAGTGAATGTTACGTAATAATATAAAATTTGAAAAAACATGTAACGTATACGTAATTTCTTTGTTTAAATCTCTGCTATCCCGAAGAAACCAGTACCATCATAAGTGCAATATTAAACATAATATTTCATAAGTATTGTATAATGTATTATAAAAATGAAATGCTTTATATTTATATATGTATGTATATTTTTACATGAGACAAAGTTTACAAGGCTTATAAATTCGCCCAAATATTTTTCTTACTAATCTCAGCTGCGGTCATAATTACGCGACACATTGTAATTACAGATAACATAAGTTTTTGAGACTAATAAAAACTATAAAAGAAGGAAGCTACAACGGCAAATCATTAAAATGATAATGTAATAAATTCTACACATTTAATTGAAAGTAACATATAATTGCAATAAATGATGGAATTGTTTAATTAAATTATCGATTACTAAATCAATATATTACATATTGAAATATTCTTCGCCACAACAAACTGTTCAGGCTTTGATAAAGTACAGTGTATATTTGTACTTTAAACCTGCTCTTTAAGATCCAAGTTACAATTCGAAACTTGATTAATGTTATAATAATGGGAAGCAAAGAGATAAAAGGAGGCATAAAAGCTCGCACATAAAATCATTAGATATACACCTAATACAATATCTCTTCCATTTATATTGCTATGCAATGCGTACTGAGTTAAAATGTGTCTGGCATGGTAATAAAAGGAGTTAACATGTATGTAGGTAAATATCAAAGTACACCTATGATAGCGTGAATCGTACGAATAACACCTACAGTATTCCACCATTACTTAACAAACGCATTGGGTAGATATTTTGTCAAATAACATCATTAGCGATGCTCTTATATAAATATAATGAAAAATATAAGAATTAAAAATTTCATTAATAGTTGGAATAAACTGGACAAACACGTACGGGGACAAATTTGTCAAATAACTGTGGAATACTATATAGAACTTACAAACCCTTATAAATCTTACGTTCAAAAATGTACTATTTTATGCATGTGAAAGCATGCTAACACTTCATGAGAGACAAATCTCAAAGCCACTTTTTCAAGTTGATGACACTAGCTTGTTTCTGGTGTACTATTTAAATATAGTAATAGAGCTTTCACTTCGTCGTATCAAATGAAATTTCCTGCCAGATAAAATAAAACGTGATAAAAAAAACACGTAATTGGAAGTCCAATTAAAATCGGCCGATATTCGAAAAAGCGGCAAACAGAGGCGTCGTGGTTGTAGCCGGTTGCTGATCACCGATGCTTTTGAGCAAATTGCCTTGCAACAGACTGTCAAGTGCCTTTTGAACTGTCGGATCATTTAGCAGAGGTGACGGTGAAACTCCTGTGGTAGGTGTTGTTGTTGTGGGTGCTGTTGTGGCAGTTGATGCTGCTGGCATAACATGATGTACTCATGTAGTTAGGCGGTTGTGATACCGGCAATAAATATATTCGAAGTTCGTTCGCTTTGATCGCTGCATCATGAGGAAAACGGGCACAAGAACACTACACGCACTGAGAACTCGACTTAGAATAAACCCAAAGCGTACGAAGTTCGTTTTATCACTTGTGTTCAATAGTTATAGACTTTACCTGAATCTATTTGTCCAAACGCTCAGACAAAACCTGCGTTATTAATGTTTACATGTGAAACTTCTTCCTTGGAAATTTCTTTAAACGACTTAGAGAAGAATTTCAGTTTCTTTGGGCATGTTCGTGAAGCGTGGCACAAACGGATCCAAAGAAAAATGTAAAAAAAAACAGGTGCTCTCAAATCGGTAAGATACACCTAGAAACGACCTTTCTAAAGGCGCAAAATCGTGCAAATGGTCTGTCAAACTTTTTCACGCGACGAATAATCCGATAACTGTTTCTTTAAAATAAATTGAAGAAAATATCACAGTTGTGACGTGTAATTGTTTACACAGTGAAGCAAGAAAAAAGAAGCGAAAACACTGCATTATACAGTGTGTATATTTTTTCGATTCCTTATTAAAGGAATTCTGGATTTAATGGTTTTCAAAGTTTGCTGGTACAAAGACTAAACACGAACTTTGATAAAACCGAAATCCACTACTGAAATATTTGTATGATATTTATGTTGTCCTGAATGATTATCACGTTATAATAGTGCGAATTATATATATTTTTAAACATTTAGTATTCTGTTTAAATATTAATAGCGAAATTTTATGTATTTTACCTGATCCCCAAGTAGTCGGTGGAACGGGTGTAGGTGCAGCTGTTGGAGCCGGTACTGGACTAGGAACAGGCACGGCCGAGTTTGTTTTATTACTATTCAATATATTAAGTATCCTCGACTGTAATTCAGCCTGTTTTGGGTCGCTGACTGCTATCGTCGTTGTTGTCGTGGGTAAATCTTTCACGTCTCCCAATTCAACTTGCACCTGTTCCTCACGCTTAATTTCGAGATATTTTATCACGCGATCGTACTGTAGTACTGTTAATTGATGGTTATCAGCCAACATATTTAAAAGAACTTGAATAGCATCGGGATGTCGTTCGTTCGCAAATGGTGTGTTCAACGGTACTGACCGTCCGCCAGCTTTATAATTGGCGAAGTCGCGAGACATTAAATTAATGGCATCATCGACGAGCATGTTTCTGTGTTCTGTATAAAAAATTGTAGTTGTGATAACACGGAAAATATCATGTTTATCATAGTAACGAAATAAATACCTTGTGGCAAACCATGAAGAATATTTAGTGTTAAGGAATGATGTTCTTGATTGATAGGTGTCACTACAACAGCATATAAACATCCACGACTCGCTATATTGCCTAAAACCCTACTGAGGAGTACATCTTCGTTTGGAAATAGTAAATCCACTGTCAATCCAATTTTCTTCAGCCTTGCCTCAATACTTTCTGCATACTCCCTATTTTAATAAATAACAGTTGTAATAATATTATGAATATTTACCAGATCTAAAGTTAAGTGTGTCACAAATAACTGTAAAACTAAAGGAGGTACTTAGCTATTAAATGATGACCTTCATATAACCTTGATGACTTAATGTTAAAAGAGAAAATTAATTTGAACAATTCGATCATCCTTTGATAACATAAAGTTTACCCAAAAAGTACATCAAAATTTTATTTGTTTTAGGGATATTAAACTATACCTCGTTAAGTTTGACAACCTACTCACAAGAGTGTATCGCTTTTATACATACGTCAATGCCTTGTTGACAACAATGATCTCACAGTCGTTCTTTTCAGTTGATGTATTTGTATATTCACTCGACGTATTTGTGTTGCTAATGAGTGAACATAATACACCAGTTAGTAAGTTAAGCAAAGAATATTATGGAGGATTAATAGTTTAACATACTTAAAACTTATGTTCATATCTCTGGGACCACTATTCTTGAAATCTTCATAGCGATTGTTGCTTTCATTAAAAGAATCCCTGCCAAAATTATTGTTCCTTGGTCTATCACCCTGTTTGTGGTCCCAATCTCTACCATGCTGAATTATCTCTATTTTTATTTCGATTCTTTCCACCCCTACTACCTCTTGGTCTACCACCCCCACCAGTGTTTACTCCCCCGCCTGCTCCGCCACTTTGATTGTGATTATTCTGATTATTTAAATTACGATTTTGATTCCCTCCAGGTCTGCTCTGATTTCCACCTGGTCCAAATTGATTAACACCTCTGTTTTGATTACCCGGATTAAACTGATCATTCCCTTTATTCTGAATCATATTATTAAACTGATCACTTCCATTATTTCTATTTTGATTTCCAAATTGATCACTACTCTGTTTTCCATCACCGAATTCATTTCGATTTTGCATATTATTTCCTTTCTGACTATCACTCATCTGTGAATCAGAACCAAAACTTTGATTCGAATTAAAACTAGAATTTGCTCCATAATTTTGAGCTCCGCTACTGAAGGAATCATTTCCAGCATTAAAGTGATTAGTGCCAGGATTAAACTGATTATTTGGACCTCCTGGTGGCTTAGGTCCTCCACCTGCAGACTGATTATCTTTCTTTGCTGGTCTAACATCTACATAAAACAGAATATAAATATGTACTATAAAATATGTCTAAATTTATGAACAAATAATGCATGACGATTACATGTGTCATACACATATATACCAGATATTGTTTTATACATCACATACAAAAAGTATGCTAAGCAATATAGTATTACAATTTATAATGAAATACCAGAAAGAAATCTTGTAAGTAAAAATACCTATTCTTCTGCCTTTGAACATAGCACCATCCTCATTTTGAATAGCTTTCTGAGCAGACTGTTCTTCCTCGAATTGAACAAAACCGAAACCTCGATTTATCGCTGAACCGACGACAGTTCCATATTTTGAGAAATGTTCTTCCAGTTCATGTTTGGTCATATCGTCTGTTTGCAAATGACCCACGAATATACGGCTACTTACCGTAGCTGGGTCTTTCAACAATCTTACGCTCATTTTGACGTGAGTTGCGTTTAAGAATCGATTCTTTTTCGAAGTAAATATTTACGATACGCTAATTCTCATTCGAATAATAAAAACGGAGGTTATATTACAATGCTGACGTTCTATTTTTCCAATCTATTTCACTGAAACTTATTTCAATGAGCAGGAAAGAAGAAGCAGTGTACAGCAATAGGGTGTTCTTAAATTCTCTATTTTGCCTCCATTTGTTCAGAAGACAATAATATTGTCAAAACGATAATGATTTCAAAACGAACCAGGAACCGTCAATCAACAATTGAAGGCTGAACGGATCTCTTATGATGGCGTGCCTAGTGCCTATGGACACAAACCCAACATTATACAGGGTGTCCCATAAGTGGTGGTACAAGCGGAAAGACAAGCACCAATCTAAAACACATTTTATGTATAGATAGTCACTGTTCCAACCAATTTAAGTATACTCTTTCCGACTCCTTAGGTAAACTTTCATAAGATAAAATGAATATGAGTAGTTGAAACACTGACCCGTGAAAAGCGTTTTGTATACTGTATCGGAACGATCATTGGCCATCGATCGATGTCTGATTGCCTCACTATGAATGCCTACAACTGCTTTAGTGTAGACACATTCGGTCAGACTTAAAACTTTCATGACAAAATTTTGTTCTATTATTTTGTTTTATTTTTTCACATAGAATTACCACCTTTCTACTTGTATCATTATTTACGAGACACCCTATATAAGTATGTTCTGTTTTCAAATACACAGGAAACGTTAAACCCTACTCTACGTTTTCAATATGTTCTATATTCGAATAGTAGGGTGTTCGGAAAATCTGAATCTATTTAAATTGGAAGCATTCGAATAAAGATTCATTCAACTGAACTTTTATTCTGAAATACTTTCTTCATGTTTTACACTTAATGGAGGAAATAAATTTTTGCTGAATCCAAATTGTCTAAAAATAGTCACGAAATATCTAATTTTGCATAAATATTTCCAGTGTGGTCATTACATTTAGGACATCCTACATTATCAACAATTAGAGCATAAACTAGTGACGGGCACCATCGACTAAAAACTATCGACTAAATAGTCGATAGTATGTTGCGACTAAATAATCATTAGTCGATAGTTTAATTTAGTCGATGGTGCCCATCACTGGCATAAACGTTCATGGCGTTTTGTAAATCCGCCATAAGATTATATAAAGAGAGACAACCCTTCATTGACAAATTCCTTGTTTCGGTAAAAAAAATCACGTAGTACGTTTAGTCATTTAAAGTGATGTGAATACATGACGCGTACGCTAGTCAACGAACGGCCTCGAATGTGTCTTTTAAATCCCGCGAAACAGTTCGAATGTTAAATCTTCGTTGGTTGTACCGCGAAAGACGGAACCGAGGAGAAGGAAATATTTTCCAGCGCCATCTTGCCCCGTAGCTCTTAATTCGTCAGTGCCTGTGAATGGACTTGTCATAAGTGTTTTATGTTATTTTGTTCGTTGTTTCGGTTGCAAAAGTTAGTATATTAAATTTCAAGTACACGTCACGGTGAGTAGAACGGTTCCACGTTGGTTCAGCCGATACAAAAGTACGGAAACGAGTTGTCCAGTCAAAACATGCAAACTATCAGTGGTATAGTCCATCGAATAAAAGAGTGCAAGCTCGATTCCACTTGGACGATAGATTAGGAACCCTAGAATATTCTAATTACAATACGTATGGTCCTGTTTTACTTGATATCTTTGATTTGTTGTATGTCAGACTGTGTCTAAGAGGAATTTGAAACAGTGCAAGATTACAAAGTCACGCCCGAGCATGAGAAAGCATAGGTAGAGAGTTTCGAAATTGACATATCATGCATTTTCCTGGACTAGCCTTGCTGTTAAGTCAATGTGTGTATGTACGGTTGGAGCTACTTGAATAATTTAATCTACAAACGTGTTATAAGTATTGAAATATTATGTGTATTTCTTTTGAATACATAAATATTTGAACAGATTATATTCAAGTTCTGAAATATTCGAAGATTGTATTCGTAGATTTGGGTATTTGAATACCTAATGTTATTGTAGTAATAACTGCACGGGTATACAAATATAACGATTACTGCAATTTTTCGAAAAATTTGCTGAGCTGTCACGTAAAATGTTTAAGGTCAATATTAACGTTAAGAAAAAGCTAATATCGATGAAATAGATGCAATTATTTGAACACGGAATTACAATCCTGTTTGATTTTTTGAGGCAAAACATTTCGACAGTTTTAATGTATCGTTTATTCTAAATTTATTAATAGAAAAAATAACGAAAAATACAAAATAAAGATCAATAGTTTCATGGTTAATTATAGGTCTAATACTAGTTAACTGTCTTGAGGAAACCATATGATGACACTCCTGAGTAGATCTAATACATAAATAATTCCTTTGGTATATCATATATTGTGGTACTAAAAGTATTAAACTATTGTTTTTAAGCTGTATTTACCTACAGGAACTTCACTGATAGACAATTCTGTGTTTTACGTAACTATTCAAATAAGTGTTCAAAGTAGATAAGTAATAAGTACATGCGTACATATTATCTCTCACAGGTGTTTTGTAACATCAAGGGCAAAGTTGTAAAACTTAATTAAACCCATTTCATTAAGCATTAACAGTCCGAATTAATTAAACTTACCATGAACAACAGTTCCAACATATTTGAATAATATGGAATAAAGTACTTGCATTAAAATAGATAGTAATTATTCTACTTTGTTGTTAAATGTTTCTTTTCATTATTTCACATTTTTATGTTATATACATATGTAGCGATAAGATAAGAAACAAACATAATGATATTAACTGGCAGATAACAAAGATTTCTTTATTTTTCAGTTTAATAACACATCTTTCTTGAAGAAAAAAATTAAATCCTCCATCTTATCAATGTAAGTAATTCTATTTCTTTTAGTCATTGCATGCGATCTGTTTATTTTTGGACAAGTAGTTTGGTTCAAATTCTTTTTCCTTTAATATAAGAATTTCTTCTTTTGTAATTTTCTTTTAAATTTTTTTGATTGAAACGCTTGCAACAGATTTTGCACTGAATAAGAGTAGTTACAAGGATTAATCTAATACTTTACACTTTTCGAACAATATTACAGAGTACTATATCAGCAAATTAAGAGCAATATTGCACAAAAACTGCAACTTTGATTTCTCTATTAATTTATAGTTGTATTTCTTTTACGATCGCATTTAGCTTTAAAGGAATTGAGTAAGTTTACATAGGTTTTCTGTACAAAGTGGCTTTCCACCAAAAAAATGTACAATTACGCAGTATAAACATTTGCAGATAGTAATATTTTCCTCTTGATAAATATGTGCTTTAAATGTATTCTATTTGTCGTGTATAAGTTACATATATGTCTTTTACATTATCTGTAGAGAATAATAGTAGTTTTTTTCAACTTTTAGAGCAAAATGTTATTACTTTTAAGCCAGTAATTCACAGCTAAACTAATAGTGTACTTGATATACCAATGAAATATGAGTTGTGCCTATTTACTGTTTAAGTATTCTTCGAATGTGACATCATCTATAATACTGCATATTCCATGGCTATGTAAGTCTCATTTAATATGCAGTATTCTGTGCAATATTTATTTGCATAATAATTAGTGTGATGGTTCAAAATATACACAAAGTGCCCTCAGTTAGTTATTTAAATGTTTGCACACTACATAAGAATTTATGCATAGTTAAACAGGTAAATATAACAAATGTTTTTTGCTTATTTAGCGAACTGTCTAATAGTTTAGGATTTTATTCTGATTTAAAGAGTGTTCGGGAGTTTTCTATATTTCTGGACAAGAAATAGCTTCATCGACGACCGTCAGCGGTATTTCGTATGCCGACAATGGCGATGCAGAAGGTAAATTTTCTAAACTGGCCACAGTCAATCAAAATAACACGTGTTATTACCTTACTAATCAGTGATACTATTAGAAAGTGTTTGAGGACGAAATTATGTAGATATTGTATATGTTTTGCAAGCAACCTTACCGAATAGTATACAGGGTGTCGGTAAAAATCATATAATTCCAATAAGTCCTTTTTATCAGAAATGTAATCATACAACGTAGAAGCAACCAAATCGGTCTTAATGGCACAACATCCTGTGTACATAAGAAGATATATGAATTATAGTTCTTTTTTTTAGTAATCAAGTTTTTGCACATACTTGGAATTGTTTGTGTTTTATTTTTTGCAAAATTATAAAACAACAATAATTGTGCACATTATGCAAATCAGTATTGCAACAAATGTTATTTTCAAAGAAGCATTTAATGTTAAGTTTTTTTTTGTAGAAAACTTTAAGATAATTCTCACTGAGAAGCTTGGTACGTTGTGGTGGAAAAACTTTTCTCCTATAACAGAGTTACTATCACAACAAAACTACCAATATTATTTACATGAATTTTTAATCTATGTAATACTAAATGCACCAATTTCGTTGAAACTTTTTATTTTGTGTATATATATATATATGTATATATATATACATAGGCACATCTCAAAAAGAAAGTTGTTCTGTTCCAAAGCTTTATAGATTATACATGGAAAGTTGTTATGTCCTATTGTATTACCTTATTGCATATCATTTGCCATACAATGTTAATGTTTAAGTAATGTAATACAATAGGTAGAATAAAAGGTTTAAACGGGGCACCTTTATTTGTTTCAGTTGCACTTTTACTTTAGCTACTTTCATTCATCATACTATTAACCAGGTAGAAAGTAGTAGCTATACGTTGATTTAGACGTTATATTTACATAACGTAGTTATTACAAATGATTTCTTACTTTTCTACTAATGCATACCTAGCTGCATGGCTTCGGTATGAAGTGACTGCCCATATTTATTGCCAATCTTTCTTTTTATTCATTTGATCTTTCCATGAATATAACAGAATTTATGTTTCAGTTGCATTGGAAATTGTTAGCACATATCAAATCTAATTGACAATAAGTGTGAATGTATATGATGATAAGTATGGGCTTCTAGAAGAAGTATGAATATTATTACCTGCTTGTAATATACAGTGGTCATTTTTTAGATGAGGAGACAAGGTCAGGACGTCATGCAGGTGAATTTGGCAGGTATCAGGCGAGATATTGTTAATCTTGCCCACAACTACAGCAATGCACAGGTAATTGGGCAGCGTGTTATTCTAGTATTTGATATTTATGTGTTATATCTTGACAAAAAATTTGTTACATACTACAGAAAGCTGTACGGAAGGCCACCAGCAACGATCCGTGGGGTCCATGCAGCACGCTTATGGCAGAAATTGCTGACTTAACATATAACGTTGTGGCCGTTTCCGAAATTATGCAAATATTATGGAAGAGATTGAATGATCATGGTAAAAATTGGCGGCACGTGTACAAAGCTTTAGTTCTTTTGGAATACCTAATTAAAACAGGATCGGAAAAGGTTGCACAGCAATGTAAAGAAAATATTTTTGCCATCCAAACATTAAAAGGTGTGTAATCTTGTATGTGTTGTTTATCATATAATATAATATTTCACTAACATTTTGCTTTTCATTACCTGCATCATATAGATTTCCAATATATGGAAGGGTCTAAGGATCAAGGTGTGAATGTAAGAGAGAAAGCAAAGCAACTAGTGGCCTTATTAAAAGACGATGAAAGATTAAGAAATGAAAGAGCTAGAGCGCTAAAAGCTAAAGAAAGATTCGCACAGTCTGTAAGTGGGTTTGGAAGCGATGGACTAGATACTATGTCACCTGTGAGCAATGATGTAAGTGTTGCATAATTAATAGCAAAAGCATTAAATATTGCATATACTTGAAATGTACATGGTTCCGTTGATTCAGTTCCAGGATTGGGAACCGTGCCGTTCAGGATCCGAATCTACACCTAGACGTACGAATAAATATATATTAACATAATACAATGTATATTCTATACGTTGTAGTAAATTAATTATAATTCTATTGACCAACGTCTAATTATAATCTGCACAATATGTAGCTGAATTGGAAGCTGCAAGGCCACAAACAGTGGGAGAAGAGGTATTGCAGTTGCAGTTGGCTTTGGCAATGTCCAGAGAAGAGGCGGAGCAGGAAGAACAAAGAAGACGCAGTGACGACGTTAGACTGCAGTTAGCTCTTAGTCAAAGCCAACAAGATTTTAAGTTAGTAACAATCATCGTGCGTTTTACATTTCATAGATATTATATTCCCGTAATACTAAAAATAAGTATCTTCATTCATTTCTCGCCTAAGGATGCAAATGAATTTTAGAACCCCTCAAGAGAAACAAAGCCATATGCTGGACTTGTTGGACGTTAACCTAGGAGAAGCAAGCGGTGGATCTAATGTACAGACCGATCCTTGGGGTGTACCTATCACCGCACCACCACCTAGACCACAGGTATGTACTATTAAATCGAATGAAATTCGCACATTTGCTTGTTGCATGCTAATTTGATGTACTCTTTGCACGTTCCACAACAGTCTTTGGATTTATCTCAGTTTTATATGTACAAGGTATGTTTGGCTAATAAAGCAAAGGACATTATAGCATTACGTGGTATCTTGATATTTCTTGAAAAATCTATAAATGATACTTATGTATTGGTTGTTGTTTTATAGCCCCAGAATGATCCATGGGGTGTTCCCGCTACGGGTAGTACATCGCCCATGATCGATCCATGGGCACCTGTTCCACCGCAGAGACCAAGTAAGATGAATTAGATTTTACATGGAACATTATGTTTTTGTACTTTCACAGTGGCACACTGTAATGTTCAATTTTAGCTGCTGCGATTGATCCATGGCGAGCACCTGCGCCATCACCTGTACCAGTTACGTCTCCACCTACGTCGGATCCCTGGTTACCGATACCTTCTGGCGCTGAAACTGACATAAACAAAAAACAGGTAAAGTATCATCAGCAATTTAAGGATTTATATGTATATTTTTCTATTCGTATCAAATTGATTTATGTATTCGAATATATTGTTCAGGCTGGTCGGGAAGGAGCAACATCTTCTCCATCTTTCAACAACCCCACTTTAACGCAGAACATCGGTTTCGCAGCACAATCGCCGCAGAACATAGGTTTCAATTTGCCTGTAACTTCGAGTGCTAGTTTTAACACCACGACCAACGGCTTCAACGGTACCGGGCCTAGTTTTAATAATTTCACCGTGGGTAATCAGAACAGTTCTGCAGCCAGTCCACTAAGCGATTTAGACGAATTCGATGTAATCACTAACAGAAATAAGCTTGGATCTAGTCCACAACCAACAAATAATGGTATTATTTCATTACAATGAAAAACAGCGTCGTAGGCGTTGCAGAGTCAAATGTTCCTTCTCTACCACTATTGCTTAGTCACCTGTAGCGACGTATCAACTTACGTTCAATGACCAACGTTGGAATTCTTATGGAATCAAAGCAATTTTACTCAGTATCGGAGAAATGTAGCAATAAGTAAAGAAATGGCATTTGAGTTAGCATTGCCTACAATGTGATAATAAACACTGTACAGGATCAGTTGCGAGAAACAGAAGTATGTAAGAATTATTGTAGGAGGTACGCTATCGCCGGATCCGTTCGATTTGGGAGGTATAGCCGAAAATCTTCCTACGAGTACAGGAGCTATTAAGAAGACACCACAGTCGTTCCTCGGGGAGAACTCAGCTCTAGTTAATCTTGATAACCTCGTCAGTACTTCTGCGATCAAACCGACAACACCAACTCCAGCAGGTAACGTTTCAGTTAATATACAATTCTAGGTAATGCAAAAATTACAAGATACAATTCAATTGAAATCAAACGCGCCAATAAAAAATACTAACAGACTTCAACTTCATTGAAAACGAATAATGCGATGTGTTTTTTTGTAACGTATTCTGTCTGCAAAATAGCATTTCATTGGAAATAAATTCGTGAGTATTCAGGGAGCGATTAACAATTACTGCATGAGTGCATGAATCGAATGTTGCATTAAAAAAAAGTGAGAAAATTATGTTTTCTTTTTGTCGTGAATCTTCTTTTGTAATGAAAACTGGTGACATTATTGTAGGTTTTGATAACATTGTGCATACACGTACGAACATAATGCATTTTTCTTTACAGTTTAATATATGCGTTATCTTTGAAATTCTCGTTACTTGCGTAATTTTCTTTTTGAAAACGTATTACACAAATGTCACAAATGATCGGCGAATGTAGAGTAATGTTGTCAATAATTTTCCAGCAACCATGTCATATTCAGCAAATCCATTTGCGACGGCAACAACACCACCACCCCGTCCTACGATCAATCAGATTCGACAAGATCCTTGGGCAGCGAATACAACTACTACAGCGAATCCGTTCCTCTCGTAGCTCGGCGTTAGAATTGTCGAAGACATCAGTGGAAAAATCAAGAGCACTGTGGTCTAAAAAAGTATTCGTGGTTTTTAGCGGTAACCCTGTACGGTATAAGTTTCTTGCTCGCTACGAAGTGGTTTCATTTCAAGACATAGACGACATATACAGACAGCAGAGAGAAAACGTCCTTTCGAATGAAAACACTTGGAACGCGTTAGTTTTAACATTTGAAAGTAACAGTCGACCTCTTTTTACGAATAATAACCATTGATCTGTTACGTTAACCACCAATTTTAATCAATGAAGAATAGGGGTTCCGTTTCAAGGTTTCAAAAATAATAACAGTTGACATCGAGACGTTTATTTCCATGTAGTAACTAAAATGGTCTAGTAAAGATTTACCTTTAATGTGCTTATTGCGCAGAAGTGTTTATGTCCGTTATGATTGAATCGCTTGTTTTTTTTTTTTTTTTTTATCGCGTAACGACGATGAGTAGGAACTATCTAGAGAAGGATAACGATGCGTAACAAACGAGAAATAATGGAAAGATGTAAATCATGTTTAAATCTTCAACGCTTACGCGCTCCCAAGGTATAACTAGATTTTATAAACACCTTTTTCATATATAGTATATTTTTTAAGTACGACTCGATTCGGTAATAGGATAGAATATCATTGAACGATATTTTCGGTGAACTGTAGAAGTAATGCGAAGGGAGGATATAATGGTCGGAGTGTCAAGAATCAGTTTCTTTGTCCTTGTATTTATATACGTGTTTTTCTATGGCTAACGAGATCGTGAGACTGTAATCGTGATTTGCAAAAGTATATTATATCGAACAGGGTTCTTCGGTTTAAGCTGTATGCTTAATGTGATGTGCATCGATCGCGGTTCGTAATAAACAAATGGTACACATTGGTGTCGCAGCAAGCTTTTCAATTGATGAAATCAGTAACGATGTGACTGATAGGTGGAAACATATTTTTGCTTTGCGTGAATTCATGTGAATGTACGGCGACTAGAAATTGCATTTGTTTTCAATTTCTTTAGAGACACTATTGTCATCAATTCTGTTGAAACACAGTTTCGTGAATCGTCGGTCGTTCGATCTAATATGATGAAAAAGAAAAAAATGCGTATAGAAACAACATGTATATAGAATATGTTCTATAATGTTCTAATTATAGAGATCAGTACATCTGTGTTATTAACATTAATGTGCAATCAATTATTAACGCCAGTGGATCATCGTATTAGAACAAACGGCTTTGCAACCACAGTAACTGACAGAACAGAGTTTGAAAGAATATTCCAACAACGAAAGTTCACAAAAAGACACGACTGTGTATACTTTAAATAGTTTCGTGAGGACGGATGTGTTTCGTCACATGAGTTCACATGACGCGACATACACGTGCTTCCACCTAAATACTCGTTTTGCTGAGAGAAATGCGTACGTTGGGAAAACAATGAGCCGATCGTCAATGATTTACTGTGTTTATCAACACCTGGGAGTACTTGCGGAAGAAATAGTCTGAGAGCAGTTCACTGCAAAGGTTACGTCGTCTTTTGACACCGTAAAGGCACACACACACACACATTCATACCAGTCGAATTTACTGAGAGCAGTTCACTGCAAAGGTTACGTCGTCTTTTGACACCGTAAAGGCACACACACACACACACATTCATACCAGTCGAATTTAGTTGTGTGGAATTTCACGCATTTGATTCCGACGACTGTTCAATGTTGTTTGCATACGCTTCGAGCACTGCAGAGAACTAAACGTAGGCATAGGCTGATATGCATTTTCCTACCGGTGAGAAGTCGCTATTATTAAAAGTGGAGCGTTTTATAATTTGACGGAAGCTCACCTGTCGACGCGAGATAGATTGTGTTGGTCGCTAAACGAGAATTCGAGTGATGTTCGTTGCAAAATTTGGAAATGGGTAACCTAATTCGTTCGATAGCCAAATTAATGTACCAACATAATCTGCGAAGAGTAAAGTGAAACGCATTAGCTTTCGTTGTACACGAACCAATTTACGATTGTACCTTGATTTATATAAAGAACCTGAGAAATTGTAAATACGTTAACAGCATATCGTTCCCCAATTGTCAAATCTTTTTCTCCGTCTATACTCGATCGACGGTACAGGATGTACTTTTAACGAAGCTTGAAAGTATTTTCTAAACTCCATTGCTCATTCTTTCCAGTCTTTAAGGAAAATATTGCTGAGTTCGTTACTTTACATCGATATTTTCTACGCTCGACGGAGCACGTTTCCAATCATTGACTACATCACGGAACACGTCGATACGACATCCGCCCCTTTTCAACGACGGTAGTCGACAATCAAAACGCGTATGTATTTATTACTGAGTTCTTTTAAAAAGGGCTACTTTTGCGGATAGTGTCGATACCGACTCAGCATTTCCTTTATTAAAGCAATGTAACGCATTTTACAATTTTTATACGAGAGAAAAAAAAAATTGATTTCGTGCGTTCCACGATTGGCAAATGGGGGAACTGTGTTTTGCCTGCTTCTAAGTGAATCGTACACAATCAGTTGCACGCGATATAAATTCTATCGTAAATGAATGCTGCTTAAATAATTCCATTGTATTATTCTTCGTTAAATTAATCATTTCTGTTTCTTTATGCATTTTCAACATACTTGCTTCGATGATTGAAATTGTATATTTAATGTGTATTTATCCGAATGTTCGCGAAAATATGAAGTTAGCAGTATGTGATAACTCACTCAATACCACTGAAAGTTGTATTACACTGATTTCACAATCCTGTATTCACTGTTTTCGTAGAAGAACTGTTGTATTCAACCAACGTGCCTGTTGTGCGTACCACTTGATGTTGTTACGCTTTTAAAACTTTTCTTTCCGTTTGCAAAACAATCGGGGAATTTGTTATTTTTCTTCTATTTTATATGTGAAAAACAATGAATTTTTCTGTACGTATATACATGGTATGGTGCACGGGCTTCATTTTTACGCGAACAATGGAACACTTTAATTTTTATATACAAATAAATGTAAAAATTTTTAATTTTTCTGAATAAATATTTAATTTAAAGTTCCCTTGTATATATCTTTTCTGTGCTGGATTCAGACAAAGATCTTTAACATTAAAAATATTTATTAAGAAAAGTAATCGAAGACTATTGCAGTAACATTATATTTATTAAGGAAAGTAATCGAAGACTACCTCACTCTACAAGGTGTCTTCATTACTTTCATTTTGTCTGTGGGATGTATCACATAAGACCTATTTATGTTTCTAAATCCAGAACTATTCAGGTCTCTTTGTGACTTATGCTATATAATACAGTAAGGGCTTGGGAATAGAGCAAATTTCTATTATGTGCAATTCATTTTATTTTAAATAGATGCCTCTGTTGAAGAGCTTATAGTAACTGGAGGAAGGAAATATGAACGAACTTGACTGTGTAATTGTGCTATTTCAGGGTCTTCCCTTTCTAAACCCCTGAGTAATTGTGCAAATTGAACTGTACCTGCAACGTATGAAAGAATAACAAATTGTTTGTAAAGAATATTGTAATACATGTAAATTTAAGTTTGGATAAAACACCATGTAAACTGTACCTTCCCGTCCCTCTGGAAATCCATAGTTCTTAATAACATCCATTTGAATTTGTACTACAATTGGAAAAACGAATTGCATCATTTTCAGCATTTCATTCCCTGAATTTTCTTTTGCTTCTGTCAGTTTCTGAATATTCTCTGGTGTATTTAACGCTGTTAATACGTCTGTTAAGACAGCTGAAGTAAAATTAATCAAATCAGCTTTCTAAATGACAATACTTAAATGTAACTCTGGTTATGACCATTTTATTTAGGATTTTGAGTACCTTTTGCAATGTCTGGAGTAAAATTGGGCATAGTGGTCATTGCACAAGTAGACTAGCGTAAATTGAAGAATGAACGAGTAGGTTAAGAAATACAAAATCTTTGTATACTAAGATATTTCACTATCTTAACACTGTTGCATTTCATAAAAGGAAACGCACTTAAAACTTTATCATAACGGCGATGGTCGTTATTTCTAAGATATTAATTTCATTTATTACTGTCTATCACTATTTTAAGGAAACGTCAAACATGATGTACATAAACAATACATCCATTCTAGATGGCGCTCCTTGTAAACAAAGTTACCTCTCTGTCATTCATTTTTAACACATTTTCCAGAAAAAGTAAACACATTAATTATAAAAATTATTCGATAAATAAAGCGTAGTGTCCTTATTTTAGGCAGTAGACGCATACTGTTAATTATTAAATTTTCCCTAACCTTTCAGAAGTGATATACAGATGATAAAAAAAACGATGAAATGGAAATCTTGAAAAGTATCTATTGATGCATTTTGTGGAACATTTAATTATCCAACATTGTTAGGCAAACAATTGTATCATTTGAAGAACGTTTGGAAAGAAACATCTATGACGTCGTACACAATGAACTGTGACCACGATCAAGCGTTTTTACAAATTTTAAAAGAAGAAAAGAATATTACTAACTTTTTAGACGTGTTTTTTGGATTTCTTTACAGATGGTAAGTAACTGTGGATTTTAAGTATTTATAGCTATAGATTACTTGAAAGTTAAAGAGCCTTTAACAGAGTAAACAAATTTCTATTTCTTTGTAACTGGTAAGAAAGGTAATCTATGATTCAATTACAGTACAGACTTTTATGTTGAATCTGGTCCAGATCAGAAATTAGGTTTTCAACCTGGTCTGATAGAGAAACTGGTATTAAATAGTTTTCAAAAATGGAAGAACATTTCTAAATTTCCCAATGTGGTAGATCTGCCAAAAAATCATGACTCTAATGTACAATATAATATGGAAATCAAACACAATGAAATGGGAATTGAAGAAGAAACTGGTCCTCAAGTTGTACAAGAAATTGAAGTAGAAACAAGTACAGAAAATGAAATCTCGGATAGACCAGTTAAACCAGTAGAAAAGGATAGGTCTTCTGATAGTTACAATGGAGCAGTGAGGGATAATTATACGTGGTCACAAACCATTAATAATCTGGATGTGTTAGTTAAACTGCCTAGTTGTATAAAGACCTCAAAAGATCTCAAGGTTCATCTAAATTCAAAACAGATTAAAATAGAGGCAAGAACATCAACACTTGCACAATGTCAGGAAGTGGAAGATCATTCTTCAGAGTGGACCATAATTTTCATGGGAGAATTTAGTTTTAAGGTTAAAAATGCTGAATCTGTATGGACCATAGTACCCGGAGGACATGTCAGCGTAAGTCGAAATTAAATAATGCACAATGTTTTAAAATTGTGCAATATATATAGAAGCTATATATTATGCATACTTTTTGTTACTGCAGATTCATTTCGAAAAAGTTTCCGAAAGATGGTGGGATGCATTGATTGTCGGAGAACCAAAAATTGATTTGAGTAAAATCGATTGCTCCAGAAACTTGGAAGAGATGGGATCAGAGGCGCAAATGAAAGTTCAAGAGTTGATGTGGAATCATCAGCAGAAGCTTCTTGGTAAACCAACTACAGAGCAAATTGTAAGCAATGTCTTTACTCCATTCAATACATATTTAGAAGTAATGTAGCTGTAATCTTTCTTGTATTCCCAGAAAATGGAAAAGATATTGAAAAAGGCATGGGATGCAGAAGGATCTCCCTTCACGGGAACTCCGTATGACCCGTCAACAGTACAATTTAGCGATTGATTAACACGTTTTCATATTCAATTGGTTGCTGTGATTGAATAAAATTGTATATTCATTTAAGAAGTTATGTACAAATACATCTATTTTACTTAATTACAGATTATATACTAAAGATTCCAATTGTACATAGAAATCTGATTATACAAAACTATTCTTTATTAAGAATATTTAAAATTTTTAATATAAATTTGAATATATTAAAGAATGAATAATTATTTCTTCTACTACCAAGCCACGCAGCAAAATTACTACCGGTCACTTATTCGCGATGCTATCGGGGGAACGAGTTCAAAACAAACGGAAATAACGGAACTGTGCCACGATATAATAATTCGTGCGTTATTAGCCGCGCATACAAGATCCTTTTAACACCATTTAACGTCATCGGAGCAATAACATTATTTATTATACGATTCATGAATACTGAATCCACCATTACAAATGTTCCGTTCTATTTAATTATTATAATGCTCTATATATACATTACACAATATCGTTGGATCACAACACCATAGCAAACACATTACAAATATGTCAAAAAATATTAACTAATCCCGATTGTCACAAATACTCGTATTCACTGAATTTCTATAACACGTTTTTAAACACCGATTTACTAGATGTACCGATTACCAAGACACAGACCTTCAAAATTCAGTCTGGCAATTAAGGTCGAAGTGGCGTTGGCCGCGTGAAAATTCCTGATATATACTACCTGCATGTCTGTAATTTCACGAACCCGCAGGTATACGGAGGGGATTCTCACCGTTCGCCGGTTGATGTATCGCCGACAGACAGCGAGTATCTAGCAGGATTACCCCGCGGATCAAAATTACTTGAACACGGTGAAAAAAAAGCTGTATCACGTGATTGCCAAGGTTGCCGAGGATTCGCGGAGGACGCAAAGAATTCCTTGCTTTTCCCCCGACGTCGGCTTCGCGCATCGACTTTATCTCAGCCGTGGTGGGTACTGTCTGGTAAAGGAACAAGGAAGGAATGCTTTATGGTAACAGGTAGGTAGCTTCGCAAACGCTGTTCTCATTTCCTCCGCATCCCCTTAACTTTCGTGTCTCCATTGTTCGTTACTATTCGGAAATCATAAAAGAATCATTAAAATATTCGAATGAATACTCTTTACGAAGTTTAAGCAAAGTAAACGTAGTTACACTTATATTGCACACTTATATTTCCAGTTAAGATGTTAACCGTGTAATTGATAAATGGTACTGATGATTTAATGTTGGAAATTATAATTCGTGTGTCGAGTTATAGAGGAACTGATTCTTCATATATTATTGTTCATTAGAATCACGCATACATGGTAAAGTACATTATAATTATATGACTAATTGTTGAAAGTATATTACAAAGTTAGTATAAAAATTAGTACACCACAATAACAATAATAACATAGAATTTTACTTCAATTACTCATTTTTAATACCTTTTTCGCCCAGAATAGATTCACAAGATCCCCGATTGAAAATAATAATTAGAATAAATGCCTCAAAATCTTTCGTACGCATCGGTTATCACACACATGCGCGCATCGAAGTCTCCAGTCCGCACAGCCTCTAAAATCACCATGTCCACGTTTCGATCCATCATCGAATGCCTACAGACGGCCTTTCGAGAGATAGTTTCTGGTAGGAAAAGCCTCTCGAAACGGATCCACCCACTGGTGCAGGTCCATTATCCCTGCGGAGCATTCCAAACGGATGGATCCATGCTCCATGCATAAGTGGCGTTTGAGCACCGCTGGAAGGTAAAACACAGGTAATATACCTGCCCGGGGGCTACGTGCATCCCCCACCTTCGGTCCGGTTCTCTCTCCTTGGCCGGCTCTCGGCTTTTCTCCGAGGTGAGTCGGGCCGTTAGTGTCGTTGTCGTAGGAGAGAATGGTAGTAATGCGTATCGCGGTGTAACGTGCACCCTGAAGGACGTCGTCATCGTCGAAGAAGCAATTATACACTATCGTGGTCCTATTCTTCTTCCTTTGTAGCACACACACACACACACACATATCCGTGATATTCGTACAAAGAATTCGATAATTTCGGGCAACGTATCCGTGAAGTTGGACCACCGATTCGTGAACGGTTCCGTGACCTGCTGTTTCGTGCTGCATCGCTATCCCGTGGTATATACACACATACACACACACATTTTCCTCTCCTTTTCCACGGATGCCCGACAACCCTCGAAGGACAACGACGACGACGACCTGTTCCATCAGTATCGTCGCAGTGGTGCCGTGTGAGGTGAACGTAACGGAGCGTGGAGTGCGGTCGATAAGGGAAAATCGGTAGAATATAAGAAAGAAGAGGAAGACGAAGAAGAAGAGGACACCAAGATGCCCTGTTCCGCGGTGACGCTGTCCCTCGCGACCATAACCGGTATCATCGCCACCGGGCTACTCGCGATCGCCTTTACCACCGACAACTGGCTCTACACGGAGGTCAAGCGCGCCCAAATCCAGGTTCGTAAGGTCGAATTATTCGTGGAATTTGTACCTTTTTAAATGGTCCCCCTTTCCCCCCCTTCAGATGCGCCAGACATCAGCGAGCGGAATCCTTCGACTGCCACGTTGTGCTCGATGGGATCTGCCTCGACTGGTAACCCCGTTATTTAATGGACACTGTGGTTTTCCTCGTGATTCTGTGTATACATACATGCATACCTTTTTTTAACCCACTGAGTTTTATTGGCGGTTCGACGAATCTGAACTCACGGGTGATTTCATCGGTGAGCTTGCTTCGTCAGAATTACGGTCGTCGTTCGCGGAGTTTGTGTTTGTGTCTTCATACGAGACATTGTTCTAAATGAGCTGGGTAGTTTATTTCTCGAGGCAGGTGGCATGGTTACTGTAGTATGAAATAAATACTAAGAATAGACTAAATAATGATCCCAGAATACATTACAGAACAGATAAAATCGTACAATAATTTCAGAGAACATTCTTATTTTTCTCTTTTAAACTCGTATGTATATTAAAATAGTATTGTCTTAATGACTGGAATATTTGATTTGCAATATTTGTATTGTACTTGTAATGATAATTGATGTCTTATAATTGACTTTTTCTCGGGTACATAAAAGTCTTTGAAAAATAGAGTTCATATAATTTTGTTATAGTCTTTCGCTTCGTTGTTGCCCAGTCGATTCAACGAACTACATAAAGTATGTCAGCCGAGTTTGGTATCCACTTTACACGTGAAATTTAAAGAAACAATCCGTACATCAGATTCGGGCATGCTTCGCAGCATTCTTGTCTCGCATATTCTCGTCAAAATGTCTCTCTGCGTCACGTGACTGGAACCTGGTCCATTTCGGGCAGGTGATATTTAAATGGTAGAACCGATGGGAGAACATCGAAAGAATAAGCACGTCGTCGAGCCTCGGAGATATATTCGTAGTAGAAAAACTGGTTTTCCTGTATCGATAATTGTGTCATCCCGGATACATGCAGTCAGAATTTTCATAAATTCGTGCGTGAAATAAAATTATTATACTCGCGAGAATGTAAGGAAAAAAAACGAAATGAAATCTTTTTAATCAGTGCCAACGATAATATGAGAATCTTGAAAATTATTTAATAATTGGAGATATTAAAATTACGTTGAGTTTAAAGTGTGTAAAACCATGATTATTCACTTTTTATTTGTAATATAAAGCTTCACGAAAGAATTTCAGTCGAGACTGAAGTTTCCCGTGGTTCCCATGCGGCGAAGGAATATCTGAGGAGTTATTCGATTAATAACACGTTACACGGGCGAATTACGGTAAACGCGTTGGAAAGTTCGTTCGTTCCATGGTTAATGCTCTTTTGCTCGCTCGTTTCTACTAATTTCTATATAAAAGGGATCACCTTAAATCTTTATACATTCCAAGATCTTCGTACTGATTAAGAATGCTTAATAATATGTAGTCTTGTTTGAGTAATTAAAGGAGGTGGCCATCTTGAAATATTTTGGACGTTTGACAGTCTTCACGTTATTTCACATAAAAAAAGATAATGCAATGGAAACGTTAGAAGCATTATACATATAGACCTCCAGAATATACAATTTTCCAGTTTCTTCAATCCTATCTGCACCTCTGAAGTTTCAAGATCATTTTTATCTGTAAATATTAAAGTTACCTAACCTCAAAAATCGAAGAAAGTCTCCACATTTAATGTTATTTTGGACGATTTCCTAATATCACGAAGTGGACTTGTTAGTAAAGAATAACAAGCGTTAAGCGAAAGAGGGACGATTAACTATTTTCTCGAAAATGGCTCCATTCTTCGAGCAGCAAGACCGGAAGTGGAATCTCCTCGGCTTCCGTCGTCCTTGTCGCAGGTGAACGCTCGCGGGTCGAAGGTCAAGTTCATCCACGAGGGCCTTGAGAGTCTGCTCGACGGAAGAAGTTCTCACGAGGCATTCGCGAAAATATTCCACGGTGGAAGCCGCGTCGTTGCATTTACAACGGACGATACCGTTCTTCCGTGGCATCCAAGATCGGCACCGGAGAGTTTCGTTAATCTCGATCCTCGCGGAATTTCCATAGAAATTCCTTAAAAAGTAAAAAAAAAAAGTGATTCAAAGGAAACATTTATTTTTGATCTCTGGCAAGTCAGTGTCCTCATCACGACCTTTTCTTATATTGTTCGTAATGTTTCAATCTTTAATTACTTTTTGGAGAAACTCTAGGATGCATCGATCACGCGAAGATGCACTATCTTACTCGCCAAGTTTTTGTCTCTTACAAGACCATTCTCCTTTACTTCCCAATGATCTTTTTTATTGACGATGATTCCTTTAATACACATATATTTTCTTTTCATTCGTTTCTCAGATATTACTTGCGACGGGCAATTCTATTTTCTATTACGATCTAATTTTCGAATCCGATGATACATTGCAGCAGGTGATTCAAGTCTTCCATCTGTTCATCTTCTTGTAAGTACATACCTACAGTGATTTCAGTCCCGAGGAATTTCAGCCAAGGAGATCGGACGGTTAATGGAGAATCTCGGAGCGATATCGTTTAATGCGTTTCGTATATACGTGCACGATCGCGTTACTCTGTAACGCGAATGTATCGAGTGAATTGCGGGTTATCTTTCACCTGGCTGAAACGCGTATCAATGCAATGAGACAAGAATGAATTGCAGTCTGTGCAGTTTTACCGTAGAAAGTATGTTATTAAACAGATGGTTCGATTTCGAGATACTTGCAGACAGGTAAAGTCAATGTTTACGTTCTTGGATTTCTTTAACTGGAATTTCTTCGAGTGCATTTTTTTGTTTCGTTCGTAACACACGGTGATCTTTGCGATTCATTTCTTCGAGCGCTTTTCTCTTACCAGGATAATGAAATTGCATATGGTTTTATTTTTTTGTCATGAAAAAAATTATCAATTTAACTTCATAATTCAATGTATTTCTTTAAAGATAAGTTTGGATGAATACGTTTTTTAGTCGACGTTTTCTTAGTAGATAGAATCTTTACGATGCATTTTCTTTTTTAAAAACAACTCTCTAGGTTAATTCTCTCATCGAGACAAGGTGTACTACTTTATGAATAGAGAGTTTAGTGTTTCTTCGGTAAGATGAGTTTCTAGAGTAGTACTTCTTTGGATGTTCCGTCATAAAAAATGTACGTTCTCCATGGATTTTTTTTCTTCATAACAGTGTCACTTCTTGGCAAAGATTCGAAAGTAACGCATCCAATAACATTCCTCAATCGGAAGCTATTTTCTGATACAGAGCATTCCTCAAACATTCTTCTACTATAAACATACACAAACAACAGATTCCCTTTACTTATTAAGAAAATATTCACTAATATTCGGTATTTTAGTAATTTTTAATAAAACTGAAACTATTCACACGTATTAAGTATTTAAGTCATTTTGAGTAACAAAAAGTATTGACTCTTTGAAGATTTACCAAGTCGTAAATTTAATAAAAATTGAGTCCTGATCTATGGTCTTCACACAATTGTACATATGGTATTTCTTTACATTAGATCTATCAGTATTAATCAATGACTAAAAACCTTCCGTCGTCGTTCAGCAAACAATTTTATTTCCATTATAAACAAAAAAAATTAATAGAAAACAGTACGTTCGGGATCAATATTAGTGAAATCTATTATGTACTAGCCAAATCTAATACTAGGTAAATTCAATACTACACGAACCCAACACTATTCGAATCGAATACTACTCGAATCCAATACTACTACAACTGGACAACCTAGTACATAATACTCCCTCAGAACGGACGATTTAACACAAAACATTCGCCGATTCCACGATGACGTATCGCGCTATGCTAGAAAGCGCAGAAAAATTTCCGGATCTCTGTGTCACAGTGCACACTTGACTCGTGGCTTGGTCGGTCGAGGAATTCGATTTTACCTCGAATCTTTTCAATTCGGCCGCGGTGGCGGCCCTGCTCGCCGCGGTCTAGTCCCCCGTCATCCGTGGAACGATCGACATTCCGGGCCGCGCCCATTTTCAGCGCGTTGACTCTACAAGCTTTGCGTTTAGCGTCCGCGCGCTGTGTTGCACGCTCCCCTTTACGGATATATCGCGAGACCGCGGGGCGGAGGGACATACCCAGTATACTTTTCTCTTAAACGTACACAGAGGACGCGATTTCGTTGCCGCGCCGCTTTCCTACGCCTCCTTTATTTGGGATACAGCGGAAAAACGCTCGGATCGTTCCTGCCACCGGAGAACTTTCCTGCCGATCCGACCGCGAAGGAGAGTTACGACGGCGCGTCACGTTCCTTCGAACGATTGGAAACAAACCTTAGCCTTTTCAGCCCAATTTTCTTTCACGTGCAGTCGTTTGTTGCAGTGAAACGAGATTTAATTTGGAATAATGGGTGTTTGTCTCCAGATTAATACAATCGAATATGAATTCCCTTTCTAGAATCTTGCCCTGTTAATCCATTTATAATTGCGACGGCAATCCCCACTATGTATCGTGGGACTTTCGCTAATGTTTACCATCATTAACGTCACGGTAACATTATAAATTCTTGCAAACGACCGTCATTTCCCGATACATTACGGAGAGCCGTCAGTACGGTTTATAAAGTGACCGATGCAATTCTTAGAACACGGTATGATGTTGTCGGTATCCAATTGCAGGGATTATATACTCGATCCATATAAATTGAAATTTCGTAGTATTTACTTCACCGATCGCGTGTGTCTTCAACGCCGTAATTATGGTGTCTCGTTTTGTCCCAACGTTACCTCGTGACTGTTTATGGAATAATCCTTATGCGGATCCGGCCATTATAGGAGTATATCTTAGGGATGCCACGTTTTTCAAGGACACCCTATATATTAACCTAAGTTACTTACGTTTCTCGTCGTTTCACCGACAAGATAATTATTTACTCGGCGAATATGTTTACAAACGATGCCCAGGGAAAACCTGTCGCCATCAATCATTCCACGGACACCAGATGTTTT